ACAGCTGGTTCGCTTGTCTGGACTTGAAGGATGCCTTCTTTAGCATCAGACTGGCTCCTGAGCGCCAAAAGCTGCTTGCCTTTCAGTGGGAAGATCCAGGGTCAGGTGTCACCACTCAGTGCACTTGGACTCGGCTTCCCCAGGGGTTTAAAAAATCCCCCACCATCTTCAGGGAGGCACTGGCTCGAGACCTCCAGAAGTTTCCTGCTAAAGACCTAGGCTGCGTCTTGCTCCAGTACGTGGATGATCTTCTGCTAGGACACTCCATGGCAGACAGGTGTGCAAAAGGGACGGATGTCCTGCTTCCACACCTGAGGGACTCGGGGTATAAGGTGTCCAAGAAGAAAGCTCAGATCTGCAGACAGCAGGCACGCTACCTGGGATTCATTATTCAGAAAGGGGGTCAGAAAGAAAGCAGGTCATCTGCAGCTTACCAGAACCTAAAACCAGAAGGCAAGTAAGGGAATTTCTAGGAGCTGTGGGGTTTTGCAGATTATGGATTCCAAACTTTGCGGTGCTAGCCAAACAGTTGTACGGGGTTACAAAGCGGGGCGACCGGGAGCCTTTTGAACGGGGACCTCTGCAACAGCAAGCCTTTTACAAGTTAGAGGAAACACCTATGTCAGCCCCAGCCTTAGGACTACCAGATTTGACAAAGCCCTTTACGCTCTATGTGTCAGAAAGAGAAAAAAATGGCAGTCAGAGTTTTAACCCAAACTGTGGGGCCCTGGCCAAGACCAGTGGCCTACCTCTCAAAACAGCTAGACAGAGTTTCAAAAGGCTGGCCTCCTTGTCTGAGAGCCCTGGCAGCTACAGCCCTGTTAGCACAAGAAGCAGACAAGCTAACCCTTGGACAAAACTTAAGTATAAAGGCCCCCCATGCGGTGGTAACTCTGATGAATACCAAAGGACACCATTGGCTAACAAATGCCAGATTAACCAAGTACCAAAGCTTGTTATGTGAAAACCCCCGCGTAACCACTGAAGTCTGTAACACTCTGAATCCTGCCACCTTACTCCCAGTACCAGACAGCCCTGTCGAACATAACTGTGTGGAAGTATTGGACTCAGTCTATTCTAGCAGACCCGATCTTCAAGACCAGCCATGGGTATTCGTGGACTGGGAGTTATACGTGGACAGGAGCAGCTTCATCAATCCACGACGAGAAAGATGTGCAGGATATGCGGTGGTAACCTTGGATGATGTTACTGAAGCCAAACCATTGCCTCAGGGCACTTCAGCCCAGAAGGCAGAGCTCATTGCTTTAATTTGGGCCCTAGAACTTAGTGAAGGTAAGACTGTAAACATTTATACTGACTCTCGATATGCCTTTCGAACCCTTCAAGTACATGGAGCATTATATAAAGAAAAAGCCCTGTTAAATTCTGGGGGAAAGGACATAAAAAATCAACAAGAAATTCTGCAATTATTAGAGGCAGTATGGAAACCCCAAAAGGTGGCAGTCATGCATTGCAGGGGACACCAGCAAGTTTCCACCTCAATGACCCAAGGAAACTCCCGAGCAGACACAGAGTCACGAAAAGCAGTATCTCCTTCTGACCGGGCATGACTCACAGCCCCCCTACTCCCTCAAATACCTGATCTGGTGCCTACTCATTCTAAAGAGGAAAAAGACTTCCTTCAGGCAGAGAGAGGACAAACAATAAAAGCAGGATGGATAAAGTTACCAGATGGGAGAATAGCTGTGCCACAGCTGCTAGGAGCCGCAGTCGTGCTGGCTGTACACGAAACTACCCATTTAGGCCAGGAGTCACTTGAAAAGCTGTTAAGCCGCTACTTCTACATCTCACACTTGCTAGCTCTTGCTGAAACAGTAGTGCAGCGATGCGTTACCCGTCGACAGCGCAATGCAAAGCAAGGCCCCTCTGTGCCTCCCGGCATACAAGCCGATAGAGCAACTCCCTTGGGAGATCTTCAAGTGGACTTCACAGAGATGCCCAAATGCGGAGGTAACAAGCATTTACTGGTTCTAGTGTGTACTTACTCTAGGTGGGTAGAGGCTTATCCAACACCAACTGAAAAAGCTCATGAAGTAACCCGTGTGCTTCTTCGAGATCTCATCCCCAGGTTTGGACTGCCTCTACGGATTGGCTCAGATAATGGGCTGGCATTTGTGGCTGACTTAGTACAGAGGATGGCAAAGGTATTGGGAATCACTTGGAAGCTACATGCCGCCTACCGACCTCAGAGTTCTGGAAAGGTGGAGCGGATGAATTGCACTATCAAAAATAGTTTAAGGAAAGTATGTCACGAGACAGGATTAAAATGGATACAGGCCCTTCCTAGGGTATTGTTCAAAATTAGGTGCACCCCCTCTAAGAAAACAGGATACTCTCCTTATAAAATATTATATCACAGGCATCCTCCTATACTGCAAGGACTTCCAGGTACTCCCCAAGAGTTGGGTGAAATTGAACTGCAGCGACCAGCCTGGGCAAGATGGTGAAACCCCGTCTCTACTAAAAATACAAAAAAATTAGCTGGGCGAGGTGGCACGCGCCTGTAATCCCAGCTACTCCAGAGGCTGAGGCAGAGAATTGCTTAAAAACCTGGAGGGGCGGAGGTTGCAGTGAGCCGAGATCGTGCCACTGCACTCCAGCCTGGGTGACAGAGGGAGACTCTGTCTCAAAAAAAAAAAAAAAAGAAAAGAAAAGAAATTGAATTGCAGCGACAGCTACAGGCCTTGGGGAAAATTACCCAGACAATCTCAACTTGGGTAAATGAGAGGTGCCTGGCCAGCTTATTCTCCCCAGTTCACCCTTTTTCTCCAGGTGACCATATGGTGTGTGGATCAAGGACTGGAACGTAGCTCCCTTACGGCCACGGTGGAAGGGACCCCAGACGGTTATCCTGACCACTCCCACGGCTGTGAAGAGAGAAGGAATTTCGGCCTGGATGCACCACAGCTGCATAAAGCCTGCAGCCACTGGAACCTGGGAGGCCAAACCAGCCTAGACAATCCCCGCAAAGTAACCCTGAGGAGGACGACAAGCCCTGCTCCAGTCACCCCCGGAAGCTGACTGGTCTACGCTCGGCCGAAGCATAAGGAAAATCGCCGTGGGACTTACCTTCCTTATAACATGGACTTGTGTGGTAAAAGCTTCCACTGCTTCTTCCCACGCAGAGGACTGCCTTCAGTGCATACATCAGGTCACTGAGGTAGGACAACAAGTTTAGACAATCTTTTTGTTCTATAGTTATTATGAATGCCTAGGAATTCCAAAAGGAACATGTTTGTATAATAACACTCAGTACAAAGTCTGTAATCCAGGAAGTGACCAGCCCGATGTGTGCTATGACCCCTCTGAACCTCCCATTTCCACAGTTTTTGAAATAAGATTAAGGACTGAAGACTGGTGGGGACTCATAAATGAGACAAGTAAAGTATTAGCCAGAACAGTAGAAAAAGGGGTGCCCAGATGCATAATCTTAAAATCTGATGCTTGTGCCGTCATTAATAGCAATAAGTTAGGAGCAGGATGTGGCTCTTTTAATTAGGAAAAAAAAAAAAAAATACATGTCCGAAAATCAGTACATCTGTCATGAATTAGGATTGTGTGGAAAAGAATGTGGGTACTGGTCTTGTGACATTTAGGCTACTTGGAAAAAAAAGAAAATGAAAAAGATCCTGTTTGGCTCCAAAAAAGCAAAGGCAGACCCTCCTGCAGGAGTGGAAGCTGCAGCCCTTTAGAATTAGTCGTCACAAGCCCCTCGGACCCAAAATAGGAAAAAGGAAAATACGTTCTCTCGAGGCATTGATGGAAAAGAACTAGACCGTAAGGTCAACATTTTAATAAAAGGAGAGATTTGAAAACGCTCTCCAGAGCCAGTATTTCCGACTTTCTATGATGAACTAAATGTGCCAGTACCTGAAATTCCAGGAAAAACTAGAAATTTGTTTTTGCAATTAGCCGAGCATGTAGCCCAGTCTCTACAAGTCACTTCATGTGATGTTTGTGGAGGAACCGTAACAGGAGATCAATGGCCATGGGAAGCCCGAGAATGTACAGACCCAGTTCCTGATGAATTCCTGGCCCAAAAGAACCACCCTGACAATTTCTAGGTTCTAAAAGCCTCAATTATTGGACAGTATTGCATAGCTAGAGAAGGAAAACAATTCACTCATCCTGTAGGGCGGCTTAGTTGTCTTGGACAAAAACTGTATGATGGTACCTACCACAAAAACAGTTACATGGTGCAACTGTTTCAATGACACAGAAAAAAGATCCATTCAGTAAATTTCCAAAATTGCAGACTGTTTAGGCCCACCCAGAATTCCACCAGGACTGATCTGCCCCCACCGGGTTATACTGGATATGTGAACATAGAGCCTATGCTAAGTTACCTGATCAGTGGACAGGTAGCTGTGTAATGGCCACTATTAAACCATCTTTCTTCCTACTGCCCATAAAAACAGGCAAAGTCCTAGGATTCCCTGTCTATGCTTCCCGCAAAGAAACGAAGCATAGTCATAGGTAACTGGAAAGATGACGAATGGCCCCCTGAAAGAATTATACACTACTATGGGCCCACCACTTGGGCACAAGACGGCTTATAGGGATATCGGACCCCCATCTACATGCTCAACCAAATCATACGGTTGCAAGCTGTTCTAGAATTTATTACTAATAAAACCGGTCAAGCCTTGACTCTTCTTGCCCGGCAAGAGACTTAGATGAGGAATGCTATCTACCAAAATAGACTAGCTCTCAACTACTTGCTGGCAGCTGAAGGAGGAGTCTGTGGAAAATTTAACCTTACTAATTGCTGTCTACACACACATGATCAAGGGCAAGTAGTTGAAGACATAATTAAAGATATAACAAAACTGGCACATGTGCCCGTGCAAGTGTGGCACGGATTTGATCCTGGGGCTATGTTTGGAAATTGGTTCCCAGCAATAGGAGGATTTAAAACTCTTATAATAGGAGGTATAATAGTAATAGGAATCTGCTTACTACTCCCTTGTTTGCTACCTGTACTTCTTCAAATGATAAAAAGCTTCATCGCTACCTTAGTTCACCAGAGTGCTTCAGCACAAACATATTATATGAACCACTATCAATCTATTGCACAGGAAGACATAAGTAGTAAAAATGAAAGTGAGAACTCCCACTAATAAAATGAGTGAGAGTCTCAAAGGGAGGAAATGAGAGAAGAGAGAAAGAGACCCCCCCCCATATTGTTCTATACTATTTTATACTCAGTACCTGTTTTAAGAAGAAACAAGGAAGCGAAACCAAAGGCAGGCAGCCCAGCGCCAGGCACCAGACCCAAAACCAGGCCTGGGCCTGCCTCACTTTAGCCTGACAGTTAAAATTCAACCCATGACTTAGCAACCGATGTTATCCATAGATTCCAGACATTGTATAGAAGGACATTGTGAAACTTCTCATTCTGTTCTGTTTCACTCCGATTACTGGTGCAGGCAGCCCCTGTCACATACCCCCTAGATTGCTCAATTAGTCACAGTCCTTTCATGTAAAATCTTTAGTGTTGTGAGTCCTTAAAAGGGACAGAAATTGTGCAGTCAACAAGTTTGGATTTTAAGATGCTAGTCTGCCAATGCTTCCAGCTGATTAAAAGCTACTTCCTTCACTATCTCAGTGTCTGTGGGGTTTTGTCCACGGCTTGTCCTGCTACACTAGAATAGCATATCCAGTGAAAATATCCTTCAAGCATGAAGGAGAAATAAAGACTCTCCCAAAACAAACAAAGCTGAGGAATTTCATCAACACCAGATCTGTCCTACAAGAAATGCTAAAGGGAGTACTTCGGTCAGAAAGAAAGGCATATTCATGAGTGATAAAAAAATCATCTGAAGGTACAAAACTCACTGCTAATAGTAAGCACACAGAAAAACATGGTGTGTTATAACAGTATAACTATGGTGTATGAACTACTCGTAAGTAGAAAAACTAAAGGGTGAATCAATCAAAAATAATAACTACAACAACTCTTTAAGACATAGACAGTACAATAAGATATAAATACAAACAACTAAAAGTTAAAAAGTTGGGGACAAAGTTAAGGTGTAGAGTTTTTATTAATTTTCTTATTGTTTATTGGTTTGTTTATGCAAACAGTGTTAAGTTTATGTTGTCAGCTTAAAATAATGGGTTATAAGAGTATTTGTGGCAGGACGTGGTGGCTCACACCTGTAATCCCAGCACTTTGGGAGGCTGAGGCACGCAGATCACAAGGTCAGATCGAGGCCATCCTGGCTAACATAGTGAAACCTTGTCTCTACTAAAAATACAAAAAAAAAAAAAAAATAGCCAGGCATGGTGGCAGACGCCTATAGTCCCAGCTACTCGGGAGGCTGAGGCAGGAGAATGGTATGAACCCGGGAGGCGGAGCTTGCAGTGAGCCAAGATAAAGCCACTGCACTCCAGCCTGGGTAACAGATTCCATCTCAAAAAAAAAAAAAAAGACAGTATTTGCAAGCCTCATGGTAACCTCAAATCAAAAAACATACAACAGATACAAAAAAAAAAAAAAGGAAAAAATAAAATCATATGACCAGGAAAAATTACCTTCTCTAAAAGGAAAACAGAAGCCAGGTGTGGTGGCTCATGTGTATAATCCCAGCACTCTGGGAGGCTGAGGCGGGTGGATCACCTGAAGTCAGGAGTTTGAGATCAGTATGGCCAACATGATGAAACCAAATCTCTATTAAAAATACATAAATCAGCCAGGTGTGCTGGCACATACCTGTAGTCCCAGCTACTCGGGAGGCTGAGGCACGAGAATCACTTGAATCCAGGAGGCAGAGGTTGCAGTGAGCCGAGATTGCACCAGGGCACTCCAGCCTGGGCAACAGAACAAGATTCTGTCTCAAAAATAAATAAATAAATAAATAAATAAATAACAGCAAAGAAGGACAGAAAGAAGAGAATACCACAAAACAACCAGAAAACAAATAACAAAATGGCAGGAGGATGTCCTTATCAAGGACAACATTGAATGTAAATGGACTAAACTCTCGAATAAAAAGATATAGAATGGATGAATGGATGAAAAAGAAGACCCAATGTTTTGTTGCTTACAAGAAACATACTTCATCTACAAATAAAATAATAAGAGTCTGGGTCCTGAGATGCAGGTAGTCCCACTTCATATGGGAGGGTAGGCTTATAACCAGTTCCTCTCTCCCTTCCCTAGACCCTTCACAGATACCTGCTGGTCCCTCTCACTTGGCCAAGGAAACACTTGTGGTTAAAAAGTTGCAGAAAAGTGATGTGAAAGTGAGAAGTAAAAGTGACAGAGGCTAAAGGATGGAGGGTGGGAGGCAGTCCTGGCAGAGGAGACCTCACCACCACCACCCCCCAAGTAGGGAATGAGGAGCACCAGGGACACAGGATACAACTTTTGCTGACACTACGCAAATACTCTGCACAAATCTTCAAAAAACATCCTTGTCCCCCTGTGTCACCTGCTGAGAGACCTTGTGTCTTGGTCACCTCCTAAACCGGGAGGTGGGGCATGAACAGGGTGGAGTCACAGGGGAGAGAAAACTAGGAAGGCAGGGTTCACACCCTGGTCCCCAGTGATGTCTCCACCACGGCTGCTGCTACCCCTGCTGCTGCTGCTGCTGCCTCTGCTGAACGTGGAGCCTGCTGGGGCCACACTGATTCGGTATGGTGACCCCATTTGCCACCCCCAAACCTGGAAGGGATTCTCTGCTTTTTGCCCTTTAAGTCTGGGGCTCCTGGTTCAGTGATTCCCAAACCTGGTACCCAGGATCCTTGACTCTTCTTGGCTTCCCAGATCTCTAAAGTGGGCTTTCACTCTGAGGACTCCACTCTGACATCTCCTAAGATTAGAGCTCCCCCACTGATTTTTGTTGTTTGTTTTTTGTTGTTTTTTTTTTTTTGAAACAGAGTTTCGTTCTTGTTGCCCAGGCTGGAGTGCAATGGCATCATCTTGGCTCACTACAACCTCCACCTCCCAGGTTCAAGCGATTCTCCTGCCTCAGCCTCCCGAGTAGCTGGGATTACAGGCATGTGCCACCACCCCGGCTAATTTTGTATTTTCAGTAGAGATGGGGTTTCTCCATGTTGGTCAGGCTGGTCTCGAACTCCAGACCTTAGGTGATCTGCCCGCGTTGGCCTCCCAAAGTGCTGGGGGTTACAGGCATGAGCCACCACGCCCGACTCAGAGCTCCCTTTTTAAATTTTTTTTTTTCCTTTTATTTATTTATTTGTTGAGATTGGGTCTTGCTCTGTCACCCAGGCTGGAGTGCAGTAGTGAGATCATGGCTCACTGCAGCCTCAAACCTGTGGTCTTAAGCCATTCTCCCACCTCAGCCTCCCAAGTAGCTGGGACTACAGGTATGTGTCACCATGCCCAGCTAGTTTTTGAAAGGTTTTGTAAAGAGGAGGGTATCCCTATATTTTCCAGGCTGGTCTCCACCTTCTGGGCTCGAGCCATCCTCTCACCTTAGCTTCCCAAAGTGCTGGAATTACAGATATGAACTACCATGTCCAGCCCAGAGCCCTTTTAAGATCCTCCAACACTGAGACTTTTTTTTTTTTTTTGAGACAGAGTCTCACTCGTTGCCAGGCTGGAGTGCAGTGCATAGTCTCGGCTCAACTGCAACCTCGCCTCCTGGTTCAAGCGATTCTCCTGCCTTAGCCTCCCAAGTAGCTGGGATTACAGGCACGTGCCACCATGCCTGGCTAATTTTTGTATTTTTAGTAGAGATGGGGTTTCACCATATTGGTTGGCCAGGCGGTCTTGAACTCCTGACCTCGTGATCTGCCACCTCAGCTCCCCAAAGTGCTGCGATTACAGCCGTGAGCCACCACGCCTGCTCGTTCGCTGAGACTCTTGAGTGAGGACGCCCTCCCTTCTCTCTGGATATGTTTTTGGGAGGCCTCGCAGATCCCACTCTGAGCTCTGATGACCAGGTATGGGGGTCTCCAACATGTAACACATTCCTCCATCTTGGAGACCAAAGCAATGTGACATTTAAACTAAGCCTCCCACCTTTACCACCCTCCAAAATTGTTTTAAGGCCTCAATAAGTCTAATTATTTACCTGAGCCACAAATGGCTCACCACAGCAATCATCAGCACTTGGAGAAGGCAGCAGGAGATATGCTTGAGGCTACGCCGAGTTCCCAAGACTAGTCTGGGCAACATGGTGAGACCTAGTCTCACACGAAAAAAAAACAATCAGACTGGGCCATGGTGACAGGTAGCCTAGTAAGTCTCAGCTACTTTGGGAGAGGCTGCCCACGGAGGAGCACACATTGAACCCCACTGACACTCAATACGCCTGGGCACACAGCGCAGGTCCTGTCTCAAAAAAAAAAAAAAGAAGTCCCAGTTTTGGGACCCACCACCCAAGGAGTCTCACCCCCTAACATTCCTACTTTACCGTCCTGATGCTTCCCACGCAACTTCTCCCTTCCCCTCTTCTCTCTTCTCCTTACCCACTTGTACGAGTTTTTGGCCAAGGGGCAGGTGTTTTACCAGAAACCGTGTTCCCCCACTTCTCGTCTCTTGTAGCCTTTCAAAGCTCGATCCACCGAGGGGCGCGCGCGCGCGCGCGGCGCGCCAGGGCAAGAGGTGTGAGTGACGGCTGTCATCGGATCGAAGGCGTCTACTTGGGAAACCGGAAACTCATTACTGGCGGAAACCAAGGGCGCGGGTACCACTCATGCCTGTAACCTCACCAGCACTTTGCAGGCCTAGGCAGGGTGCCTCACGAGGTCAGAGCCCATCGCGACCCGCCTGGCTACACATGGTGACAACCCCGACTCTCCCTACAAACTCTGAAAAAATTAGCCCTGGCGTGGATGGTGGGCCTATAGTCATCCAGCTACCTCCGCGAGCGAGCCGACATGAATCCGCACGTCCACACACAGCACGAGGCATCACGCTTTGCAGTGAGCCGCGACGATCTCACCGCGCCACTGGCACTCCAGCCTGTGACAGAGCAACGAACTACATCTCAAAAAAAAAAACAAAATTCCTAGCGCATGAGGCCAGGCATGGTGGCTCACACCTGTAATCTTAGCACTATGGAAAGCAGAGGCCTGGAGGATTGCTTGAGGCCAAGAGTTCAAGACCAACCTGGCCAACATAGTGAGACCCCATCTCTTTCTACAAAAAAAATCATTAAATATAAAATTTATTTTAAAAATTAGTGCACATTATGTTTGTTAACCAGCTTTTTTTTAAGAGTTTTTTTTTTTTTTAGAGATGGGTGGTCTTACTACGTTTCCTAGACTGGTCATGAACTCCTAGCCTCAAGTAATCCTCCCACCTCAATAAGATCTTTCAGTAAGTAAGGATTTACAATCTGAAATTCTCCCAGGACTCTGAGAGTATAGATGTAGCTTGCTGGTGTATGATTCAATGAATTCACCATTCCCCATTAATCTGCTTTGCAAACCTAATATATCATGGACATTTTCGAAGTCAATGCAAAGAACAGTGAGTCTCAGAATGTTGTCTCAAGACCAATAGCATTAGCATGGCCCAGGAACTTGTTAGAAATGCAAATTCTCAAGCCCCATCCCAGATCTACTTAAAAATTAAGAGATCTGAATTTGAACTAGCCCTCTGAGTCTGGGCTTGGCAGACACTGAGCCTGAGGGTCAAATCCTGCCTGCTATTTCCCTTTTACAAATAAGCTTAAGGGAACCTAGGCCAGATGTAGTGGCTCATGCCTGTAACCCCAAAACGTGGGGAGGCCGAGGCAGGAGAATTGCTTGGGGCCAAGAACTTGAGACCAGCCTGGGCAACTTAGCAAGAGCTTATCTCTACAAAAACTGAAAAAAATTAGCTGGATGTGGTGGCATAGGCCTGTGGTCCCAGCTACTTGGCAGGCTGAGGCAAGATGATCTTTGAGCCTGGGAGTTTGAGACTGCAGTGAGCCATGATCGTGCCACTGCTCTCCAGCCTGGGCAACAGAGTGAGACCCTATCTCTAAAAAAAAAATGGAGTCAGCATGCACATTCATTTCTGCATTGTCTGTTGTCTGCAGCCGCTTTCATGCTATCTTGGCAGAGTTGAATAATTACAACAGAGACCACAGGCCTGCAAAGCTTCTACACAAAGATTTGCCCAACACCACTGCTGTAGGTGATTTGGGGTCATGCTAAAGTTTGAGAATGACTGGTATAGACAGCTACTTCCTCCTTCTTCGCGGTCGAATGGGGTTCCATTCTATGTATGCTCCAAAGCAGAACTAAGCTGTGCCCATTGTTGGCCGTTGTAACTGCCCAGCTGGTTCTTTTTGCCTGCTGTCCAGATACCGCCAATTTATCAAGAAGGGAAAATGGCAATAGAGAAAGAGTTTAATTCATGCCCAGCCATCGGCTGAACAGGAGACCAGAGTTGTATTATTATTCAAATCAGAAGTGGGCATGGTGGCTCACGCCTGTAATTCTAGCACTTTGGGAGGCCGAGGCCGGTGGATCACCTGAGGTTAGGAGTTCAAGACCAGCTGGCCAACATGATGAAACCCCGTCTCTACTACAAATATAAAAACTAGCCGGGTATAGGCCGGGCGCGGTGGCTCAAGCCTGTAATCCCAGCACTTTGGGAGGCCGAGACGGGCGGATCACGAGGTCAGGAGATCGAGATCATCCTGGCTAACACGGTGAAACCCCGTCTCTACTAAAAAAAATACAAAAAACTAGCCGGGCGAAGTGGCAGACGCCTGTAGTCCCAGCTACTGGGGAGGCTGAGGCAGGAGAATGGCGTAAACCTGGGAGGCGGAGCTTGCAGTGAGCTGAGATTCGGCCACTGCACTCCAGCCTGGGCGACAGAGCGAGACTCCGTCTCAAAAAAAAAAAAAAAACTAGCCGGGTATAGTGGTGGCTGCCTGTAATCCCAGCTACTTAGAAGGCTGAGGGAAGAGAATCACTTGAACCCAGGGGGCGGAGGTTGCAGTGAGCTGAGATCACGCCAGTGTACTCCAGCCTGGGTGGCAGAGTGAGACTCCATCTCATAAAAAACAAAACAAAAACAACAAATTAGCCTCCCCTAACATTTGGAGGCTAGGGTTTTTCAAGGATAGTTTGTCAGGCCTGGGAATGGATGCTGCTGATTGGTCAGGGAGGTAATCATTCATACGGGCCCGGAAAATAGTCTGCTTCTGGCTGGAGCCACAGGACTGGTTGGCATCATCAGAAATGCAAAAACCTTTAGTCTCAAAAGACCAGTCTTAGGTTCTACAATAGTGATGTAATCTGCAGGAGTAATTGCGGAAGTTGCAAATATTTTGACCTCTGGAATAATGACCGGTAATCATTTATGTCTCCACCTTAGCAGAATTTAATGCTCCTCTCATCCTCCTATCCTGGTGGTACTTCATTAGCTTTACAAAGGTGGTTTAGGTTTGGGGATGGACTATTATCATTTAAACTATAAACTGTCTCCTAAAGTTAGCTTGGCCCAAACCCAGGAACGACCAAGGGTAGTTTGGAAGTTAAAGGTAAGATGGCGGTTGTTTAGATCGGATCTCTTTCACTGTCCTAATTTTCTCATTTATAGTTTTTGCAAAGGCAGTTCATCATTGGTCTGTCTCCAGTTTCCAAAATTAGGCACAGCCTCGTAAACACACCTTTGTACACTCATCCAAGGATCTCCTATAGATGAAATTCTGGGTTGGGTTAAATGGTGGGTATAATTTTTGAGCATTTGATACACATTTGCCAAACCTAATCAATGGTAAGTATTCTCAGTTCTTCGCCAAAAGGTTTCTCACTGTTGTCATTTGTATTTTTTTGATGATTATTCTGGACATCTTTCCATGTATTAGAATTTATTTGTACTTCTTTTGCAAATTATGTCCTTTGTTCATTTTCCTAATGAGTGTCAAGAACTATGAAGTTAGTTTGCCATAGTTTCATGGCTGCTCATAGAAGACCCAAGACTCCCAAGTCAGAGACAAAGGGCAGTTTATCACTCCCAGCAATAGTAGTAGCAAGAGTATTAGTATTTGTGCCAGTTTTTCTTTTCCTTTTTTTTCTTTCTTTTTGTTTCTTTTTTGAGACAGGGTCTTGCTCTGTTGCTCAGGCTGGAGTGCAGTGGCATGATTATAGCTCACTGTAACCTTGAATTCCTGGGCCTCCCAAGTAGCAGGAGAATCACTTTAACCTGGGAAGTGAAGGTTGCAGTGAGCTGAGATCATGCCACTGCACTCCATCCTGGCGACAGAGCAAGCCTGTGTTGCAGTCAGGGGCGGTGGCTCACACCTGTGATCCCAGCAATTTGGCAGACCGAGGCGGGCGGATAACCTGAGGTCAAGAGTTCAAGACCAGCCTGGCCAACCTGGTGAAATACCGTCTCTACAAAAATACAAAAATTAGCCGGGCATGATGGTGATGCCTGTAATCCCAGCTACTTGGGAGGCTGAGGCAGGAGAATTGCTTGAACCGAGGAGGCAGAGGTTGCAGTGAGGTGAGACTGAGCCACTGCACTCCAGCCTGGGCAACAGAGCGAGACTCCATCTCCAAAAAAAAGAGAAAAGCTGCCCTCTTTCCAGAGTTAAACATTTTACTTGCTTCTATGTCTTTTTTATTTTTTATTTTATTTTTTATACAGAGCTTTGCTTAGGTGGGAGTGCGGTGCCATGATCTCAGCTCACTGCAACCTCCACCTTCCAGGCTCAAATGATCCTCCCACCTCGGCCTCCCAAGTACCTGTGACTAAAGGCTCGTGCCACTACACCCAGCTAATTTTTGTATTTTTTGTAGAGATGGGGTTTCACCATGTTGTCCAGGCTGCTCTCGAACTCCTGGGCTCAAGCAATCTGCTTGCCTCGGTCTCCCAAAGTGCTCTTATAATTTTACTTTTCCCATTAAGTGTTTGATATCTCAGATGTATTTTAGTGTAAAGAGTGAAATTAACGCCGGGCGCGGTGGCTCACGCCTGTAATCCTAGCACTTTGGGAGGCCAAGGTGGGTGGATCACCTGAGGTCAGGAGTTCGAGAGCAACCTGGCCAACATGGTGAAACCCTGTCTCAACTAAAAATACAAAAATTAGCTGGGCCGGGTAGTGTGCGCCTGTAGTCCCAGCTACTTGGGAGGCTGAGGCAAGAGAATCACTGGAACCTGGGAAGCAGAGGTTGCAGGAAAAAAAAAAAAAGTGAAATTAAGATTTGATGCTTACATTTTTCCCCCCAAGGATGGGGAAAATAGTCTCCAACATCATGAACTGAAGCATGCAAGGGCCACCATCTGAGGGCTTTTGCAAAGGTTAGATTTCATGTTAGGGTCTTGGGAAACCTTTGAGAATATCAATTCCTGGGAATGGCTTATGTGAAGGACTTGGATACCGTTGGGAAGGTCTGTTTGGGATAGTTTGTCCCCGTAAAGTCTTTGGGGATATTTGTCATCATGGTATCTGTGCTAGGGTTTCCTGGAGGTTGTTATTGTAGGGTTTCTGGTAATGACTCCTATTGTAGCCCTTGGAGATGTTGAATCTGTCATCATATTCCATTTGGGTAAGTCTATTTTAGAGGGTCTCCAGGAAGGGCAGCTTCCTAATTCTCATCATCTTCTTACTCTACAGGATCCCCCTTCGTAGGGTCCACCCTGGACTCAGGACCTTGAACTTACTGAGGGGATGGGGAAAACCAGCAAAGCTCCCCAGGTTGGGGGCCCCATCTCCTGGGGACAAGCCTGCCTTGATACCTCTCTCCAAATTCCTGGATGTGAGTCACAGCCCTACACAGCCCCCACCCCTGTGCCCTCAAGCCAAACTCTTCACTGACTCTGTCTCCTCTTTTGCCTCATCAGGTCCAGTATTTTGGGGAAATAGGGCTGGGAACGCCTCCACAAAACTTCACTGTCGTCTTTGACACTGGCTCCTCCAATCTCTGGGTCCCGTCCAGGAGATGCCACTTCTACAGTGTGCCCTGCTGTGAGCTTCTATGCGGGAGAAAAAGGATGAATGGGGGTGAAGGGAGAAGGCGGGGCTGGACCTCAGCTTCCCACAGGTTTTTGAGGAACTCTTCTTTTCTGACATCCTCAAAGGTCAGAAGGTTAAAGGGGCAGAAGGCATTTGGAAAGCTCCCCTCCCAAAGTGACCCTCTCTGACTTCTGACCTAGGGTTCCACCACCACTGCAATCCCAATGCCTCCAGCTCCTTCCAGCCCAATGGGACCAAGTTTGCCATTCAATACGGAACTGGGCGGGTAGATGGAATCCTGAGTGAGGACAAGCTGACTGTGAGTGGCCTTTGACTCCAGGAAGCCTCGAGCCTGGGAGAACCCCGTTGTCTAAGATCATCTGGCTTAGGGGGGTGCTTGAGGTGGAGGGGCTTCCCGAGCCAATGGATAGGGCTTCTCAAGGAGGGGGAGGGGCTCCTAGGTGAAGGGATAGGAATTCTGTCAAGTCAGAGGCAAAGTTTGCTAAGCAGTCGGGGAATTGGGTCCAGATGTCCCCAGACCTGGGATTAATGCTTTGGTTTGGGAGCCCTCAGGACAGGTGGTTATTGTCCTCCCAAAAGTAACTGGTCACATCTCAATCTACCCCTAGATTGGTGGAATCAAGGGTGCATCAGTGATTTTCGGGGAAGCTCTGTGGGAATCCAGCCTGGTCTTCACTATTTCCCGCCCTGATGGGATACTGGGCCTCGGTTTTCCCATTCTGGCTGTGAAAGGAGTTCCGCCCCCGCTGGATGTACTGGTGGAGCAGGGGCTACTGGATAAGCCTGTCTTCTCCTTTTACCTCAACAGGTACTGGGGAGGGTGCACCTATCTATGGCTCCTATTCCCCAGAAGGAAGTGAGGCCCTCCTTCAGGAAGTCTCTTACTCCATAAAAAAAGTCCCAGTTCAGGCATGGTGGCTCATGCCCGTAATCCCAGCACCTAGGGAGGCCAAGGCAGATTGATCACCTGAAGTCAGGAGTTCCAGACCAGACTGGCTAACATGGCGAAACCCTGTCTCTACTAAAAATATAAAAATTAGCTGGGTGTGGTGGCACATGCCTGTAATCCCAGCTACTTGAGAGGCTGAGGCAGGAGAATTTCTTATATCGGGGAGGTGGAGGTTGCAGTAAGCCAAGATCGCACCATTGCTCTCCAGTCTGGGTGAGAGAGAGAGATTCTGTCTAAAAAAATAATAATAATAATCCCAACCTTCATTCAGGCAGTAGTCACCTACCTAACAGAAGAAACACCTCAACCCTATTCATAAGTCCCAGAGCTTAAGTGACAACTTAAGATACTAAAGAAACTCACCATCAGTTCAACATGTGTTCAGTTGATTTCAACATGATTTCAAAATCAAACTAGGAAATTCTATGCTCCACCCAACCAAATATTCAGGAAACTTCTCTTCACCATAAAGCTCAAATCCCATTTGATAACACTGACCAGAAGTCAGGAAATGCCTGATTGAATTCACAAAGCCCCACCTACCTGGCAGGAAGGTCAATCTTATGCTCAGAAGTCCCACTCAACATCTGAGAAGTCTTCATTTTCCCTCCCAGGGCCCAACACACACAGTCCAATGACCATTCAGTTACCCTGACATCCAACCCACTCAAGAAATTCCACCTACCTCTTGGTAGATCCCACTCACCTACCTCTTCCAGGAAGTCTCCAGCCCCATTCCCATCACTCTCAGCCAGCTCAGGAAGTCTAACACCTTTCTAGATACCACAACAGGCAATTCAGAAAGTCTCTGCACCTTCCCAGGAAGCCACCCCACCCCTGCACAAGTCACACCTTCCAGCCAATTCTGAGACTCCACTGGTCTGCTTGGTTACTATATTCAGCTCAGGAATTTCCCCCAGAAGCTCTACCTTCTACAGCCAAACGAAGAAGTCTCCTCTCCACTTCAGGAAGTACCCATCATCCTAAAGTCCTAACTTCCGTCAAGAAAAGTGCCATTTCCCTTCATTTCTTGTTTCCAGTCCCAACATCTAGGCCCTGTCTGCATTCCACTGCCCCAGTTATAACCCCAAAAATGACCCAAGTGGCAGGAAGTCCCATCCCTGGCCATTCCTAGGGCTGGCAGGGGAGGGCCGGTGACACTGACCTCTACACTCTGCTCCTGCAGGGACTCTGAAGTGGCTGATGGAGGAGAGCTGGTCCTGGGGGGCTCAGACCCAGCACACTACATCCCACCCCTCACCTTCGTGCCAGTCACAGTCCCTGCCTACTGGCAGATCCACATGGAGCGGTGAGGGACTTGGTCTCCTGAGTCTGGAGCTGGAGGCTGGGGAACTGCACTCCTAGGTCCCTGCCTCTAATGACTGCCTCCTTCCCCCTCAGTGTGACGGTGGACTCAGGGCTGACTCTCTGTGCCCGGGGCTGTGCTGCCATTCTGGACACAGGCACACCTGTCATCATAGGACCCACTGAGGAGATCCGGGCCCTGCATGAAGCCATTGGGGGAATCCCCTTGCTGGCTGGGGAGGTGAGGTCCCAGTCTCTGGTGGGTGTGTCCTGGGGAAGATGATGGCAATTCGATGGCGAACACTGGGGCCTGAGGATGGGAAGCAGGTAGCTAGAGCATATCCAGGACAGAGGGGACTGGGATTCTTAAGTGACATGCTGGAGAGTGGTGGGAGGATGCAAAGATACTTCCCAAGTGTCTATGCTAAGTGGTTCAGTGGATGGTGAAGTGGGGGTGGGGGGAGATGATAATGCAGTTTTGTTTGGGGCTAGATGAAAGAAGCCTAGGCAACAGGGCTGTCCACACAGGACGCTGAATACCCAGGTGCTCAATATGAACATTACCCCATGGCACTGGGGAGCCACGGTCAGGATTTGAGCAGAGCAGGAATCTCCCGTCTTCACTTGTTCCCCTTCTCTCCCAGTACATCATCCGGTGCTCAGAAATCCCAAAGCTCCCCACAGTCTCACTCCTCATTGGGGGGGTCTGGTTTAACCTCACGGCCCAGGATTACGTCATCCAGGTAGGTGTCCGTCCCAATGACGCCACAGTGATGTAATATGGCTGGAGTTGGGAGGGTGGAGCTGGGAGTTAGACATCACTAGGGCTGGAAGGGGCCACAGAAACATTTCTTGTCCCCGGGGCTGGGGGCAGAGAGAGCACGGACTCCCAGGGAAATGGTGGTTCCAGCCGCCTGGACACCCAGTTGCCGTCTTGTCGCCTTGCAGTTTGCTCAGGATGACGTCCGCCTCTGCTTGTCCGGCTTCCGGGCCTTGGACATCGCTTTGCCTCCAGTACCTGTGTGGATCCTCGGCGACGTTTTCTTGGGGGCGTATGTGGCCGTCTTCGACCGCGGGGACATGAAGAGCGGCGCACGAGTGGGCCTGGCGCGCGCTCGTCCTCGCTCTGGCCAAGCGGACCTGGGAAGGCGCGAGACCGCGCAGGCGCAGTACCGCGGGTGACGCCCAGGTGATGCGCATGCGCAATGGGTAGCAGAGCTAACGCTACTCAGTAAAAACCCAGTATTTCCCTTGAACGAACCTGCCTAGGTTGCTTCTTTTCAGAGCGTACTTTTTGAAGAGAAAACTTTGTGCATGGACGCACGGAGTTGAGGAAGACAGGGAGGCGAAGGGTATCACTCCTTTTCTCCGGGGCGCACCCTTGTGAGGAGTCTTGTACTACGAGTCCCACCAAGCCCCTCGCCTACGCTGCCTTTCGTCAAAGGCTTCCAGCTCCGTGGAGCATCACGGTCGTTGTAGTCCACGCCGTGGTCACGCCCTGACGGGGGCGGGCGCAGCCACAACATGCGTGGGAGGCGACAGGTCGCGACGGCAGCGACAGGTGGCAGTGGGTGGGGGGGGTGACTGTAATTGGTAAGGGTTTACCAGTTCCTGTTCTAAGGGGCGGGGATAACGTTCCCTCGGACCTCATCTCTTGCTTCTCCTCTCTCCCTTGGGATTCCAGGACCCCGGGGTCCGCCATAAAGGCGGAGCTTGAAGCCCCTGGGTTGGGGGAGCGGTGCTGCCCCTCCCCGGCGGTGATGTCACTCCCCCCTCCGCAGCCTCTTGCTGCCCAGAGCTGCCGGAGCTGGGTCACCCCTCCCCCCATCTCGAGCCCCGGATTCCCCCATCCCCGCCTCGCCTCGACTTGGGGTGAGTACGGGGGAGGGGGCGAAGGTTCAGGGTCCGGGGGCGGTAAGACAGCCCGAATCCTAGTTTTGGAGACGGGGGACTTGGGATCCAGGGACCCAAAGATTATAGCGGAGAGATTTCCCCTCGACTCTGAGCTTTTGGGGGCCAAGGTACTTGGAGCGTTATAGGGGACGAAGGATTGTCGGCGAGCAGTGGTCACATTTTCCACCTTTGGTGCCCGGAAGACCAGGCTCCGAAGGGAACCGGGTGGAATGAGGCAGAGGGGAACAAGGAAGAGGGTCTAGAAGTAGGAGCAGAAGATCTTCCCCAATTCCAGGGCCTGGGGGTAATGGGGAAAGGAGGGTTCGTCAGGGAGACCGCCAAGAGATGACAGAGATGGGTGCAGCTTCAGAATTGTCTTGTCTTGAGTGCCTGGAACGGATGGACTGGAAAGGCTAGCAGGCGTGGGGAAAGGAAATGAAGGTAACAGACGTTGGCCTGTCCCCTCCTGGTGTCCTAGTCAACCGAGTCATGTCATGGGCTTCCCCCTGTCTTGTGAACGTAGCTGAGTGGTCCAGTATTTGGAGCCCTCCATGAGGCTTCCAGAAGCCCCCCTCTCTTAATGGGGGTGGAGACTCCAGCTCACAAATCCTGCGCCACTAGATGCCTGGTGGGGTCTGTTGACGGCCATGAGGGAGTGCGTGCATCCAAGTTTCACCCCAGGGCTGATGCAGTGTGCTAACCAGCCCTGCTACCTCAGCCGCTGCCTCTTCCCTCCCATGCCTCTCAATCTGACTCTAATCCTGAGCGCATCGCATTCTCCTTATTCCAGCCCCCTTTCCCACGCCCCCACCTTGCTCTCCAGCACTTCTGACTCTGCCAAGAATTTCCCCACAAGCCCGCCACCTTCCCCCACACTTCTGACCTCTGCAAAACAATCAACAACAAAACAACAGAACGCTGATTTGGGTCACTAATACCTGCCTGGCGCTGTCAAAAGCAGAAGGGAAAAGCAGGGTTAGGGAGAGTGTGGAGGGGATTGCTGACCCGAGGTCCTTACCTAGCCATATGGCCTACCCAGCCCTCGTCCGCCTCCACCCACCCCACCCCAATTTGCCCAGCGAGCCTCCCATCCAGCCCCAGCCGGTCCCTCACCTCAGGATTCGCTGCTTCGGCCTGGGTGCACCAGAATGTTGGGGAAGGGGCGTAGGAGTACTATGTCATTTCTCTGCCCTCCTTGATTCCATCAGAAGCTGAAGGACATGATGGATTTGGGGTGCAATGGAGAGCCCCTGGTCTGGGAGTGAAGGGCAGACGACCTCCTGGAGCTTACAGGACAGGCCCCCACTCTGCACTCTCCTGCGTGACGCAGTCCCAGCCAGGACGGGGGTCTAGAGAGGGGATGGTTGTCTGAAGAAAGGAAGGAGACCCCAGAGAGAGGGGCGACAGGGTCCCCATGGAAGGTGGAACAGCCTACGAAAGAGAGACGACCCAGAAAGAAGGTGAAACATTAGGCAGGACTAGAGATCCAGGGAGGGACAAGAGGAAGTGAAAGGCGAAACACTAGAGGGAAAGAAGAGAAGGACAGAGACGCCAAGTCCAAAATGAAGAGCGAGAGCAGCACGAGAGGAAAGAAAGAAGAGGGGAAATACCCACCAGATGGGGGAGAATGGGAGAGCGGCGAAAGAGGTTGG